TGGTGAATTGGTACCAGATTCGTCTGGGAGGATAAATCACTGACTTGTACAGCGGCTGCCCACCGCAAGTCATTGTATAGGCCACATCGCATTCAATAAGCCACTACGATTCTGAATGGAAGTAGAATGCGTGCCGCATCCCACAAAGGGATTGATCAACGGCGAAGACTTTATCCTTTTTTATCCTTTTAAGAACCTATCTTGCACAAGACGCTTAGGAAAGATATTTTCTGTCATGAGTTTCGTTTACACACCGTGTTTTTTCACTGTTGTATGGCACTCAGCACGAGTTCACGCTGAAAAACGATTCATGAGCTAGAAGTTGCAGGAGGTCGCTTTGCTGGCGTGGAACGAACGTCCATTGGGCTCGTACGGCGTGTATGCCACTAGGTCCTCACTTAAACCGATCATTTTCGGATCATTCTTTGTTTTTTTTTGCGGCTATAGGTCAATAATTGGATGCAACCACCCACAACAGGCGATCACGGATTGTGTCTTTAGGCTGCGTTTATACTTTGCGGCAGCGTAGCGTAGTATTTCAGTATTCTCAGTATTTCACGAGCGTTTCACTAGCGTTTCGCTAGCGTTTGCCAGCGGCGGGGCTAGAGAGTATAGAAGAGTAGGAGAGTATTTTGTACTCTCCTACTCTTCTATACTCTCTAGCCCGCTAGCTGCCAGCGGCGGCGCTAGAGAGTATAGAAGAGTAGGAGAGTACAAAATACTCGGCGGCGCTAGAGAGTATAGAAGAGTAGGAGAGTACAAATACTCTCCTACTCTTCTATACTCTCTAGCCCCGCCGCTGCAAACGCTAGCGAAACGCTAGTGAAACGCTCGTGAAACGCTGGGAGCGCTAGATCGATAGCTATGCTTCCCGTGCCCTCGCTACGCTAGCGTACGCTGGTGACGCTGGGAACGCTAGATATATCTATCCTTTCCCCGACACTGCCGCTGGCGTACGCTGGAAGCGCTACGCTACCTGCCGCAAAGTATAAACGCAGCCTTAACGCGCACTGTCTTGACTTTCATCGTCCCCAACGAGACACGCTCAACGCTCGCCTAATCACCCAATATTGATACATGTGTTATTTTGAGCGTACACTCCCCACTTCTGGGTTCGAACAAAGCCGCTCGTGTTGACGAAGGATGAAGTGATAAAAGGAAAAATTTGAAGTGGCGACAGATGACCCAGCTTTTGACCAGCATACGACAATGGCATTGCTAAAACAAAACTATTTATTCGTAAACACTTCGAGTATATACGTTGATGATTTTCTAGATGATACTTGTTACTGTACGTGAGTGAGAAGAGAACAATATGATTCGTTTTCTAATTCAAAATAGCGCAACTGATTTCGGTCCCAATTCTTCCCCTTTGCGGCTTGGTGCTAGCGAGACTGATATTCCATCTTTCTGATGCTTTTTCTTGACGCTTCGGCTTCGATGTGTCGATTTAGAGCCGCTTGTTTTGCTGGAGAACTGGAAAAGTGTGTGTGTTAGCCTATTTCCCTTTTCATTTGTTCCACATTTATTTTTTCTATAAAAAAAATAGTGGCAATAGTTATCGTTTGTCCACCAATCTTCTAGAACCAGATCAGTTTTTTAACCATTTTTTTCTTTGAAGGCAGAACTGGCTAAAAATTGATCTCCAGAAATGGTTTGACCCCGTTTGCCATAATATCGTTTGCCATAATAAACTGGAAACTACCCGGTGTCCGCCCCATAGACGCCGTACCAACACACTTCACCGAATTTACTTGTCTCTAGGGATGGTTTGATCCCTTCAAAGACAAGCCGTGCACTCACCGTCGTACGTCCTGAGGCGAACGCCTACGACTTTTGCGTTTTTTTTTATTATTGAATGGCATTTACTATTGAAAGATCCAGAAAACGGTTCATGAGCCAAAGAATGCATAGAGGCGCAAGGTGTCGATTCATCAGCATGTCCGGAGAACTCGTACAATGAAGTTGCATGCACTGAGGATGGGCGCGTAGGATTGAGGGCACGGTCTCACATGGCTACAGATGGAAATTAGCATTCCAATTATGCAACATACATCAACCATTCCGTGCAAGAGCGCTATGTAACAGGCTAATATAAAAACCTGAAACGCAGCCAGCTAAGCCAGCAGACCGTATGCCTACACTTGAAAACTCTGAGATGTGGTAGGTTGCGTACTTCGAGTAAGCGCAGCGGTGGCTGGGCTTTTAGCGGAATATTTTCATTTCGACACAATTTTGGTTATGTCTCTGTAGAACACAGAACAAGATGACACTTGTGTCAATCAATATTCCCCGAGTGACCCCTTCTACGCCAAGTTCAAATGCCACGCCTATTCCGTCTCAGTGATAAGGACTGTAACTGTGCGCGCTCACGGAAACGACACATTTATTTTCACGCGCGATTTTAGGGGGCATCGTATTCCGCCTGTTTTCCAAGAGTTGTAATCTCGTGAACGGTGCTACCTTGACGTCTTCAGCCTTGCTTCCAAGCTTTTTCTTGCTTAGCCAGAACTCCGCATCATCACCTGCAGCTGCCTCGCCATCATCGTCATCCTCACTGTCACTGTTCTGGAAAGCAGCGATCGTTTTCACAATGAGAGGTAATGAGCTCATGACCAGAGCAGTACTCATGTTTTCGTGCGAGTGCACTCTTTCTTCTTCTGGATTAAACATGTACGTACTGCCACGAACTATAATTAATGGTAGTCCATCTATGGTACTGGATAACTTTGGTAATGACTCCTCCTGGGTCGCTCGTTCAACTCACTCTCTTCATAGTGCTACGCATTGCTGTCTGTTCATTAATCATAACATCACCCCGCCGGCTGGACAGTCAGTATGATTCTCCTTTCTTACGGTTGGGTATGGATCCCCACCAAGGGAGGGGTCTTGCTCACTTCTGGAAAAGTGAACTCCTTTCCCCTGCTACAGACGTACTTCTTTCATATAGACGTGACTGCAGCCGCGACGGAAATCAACCGGCGCCCACTTAAGGGCCATGAGATGGGATGGAGACCAGACGCGTGGTTGAGCAGCGTTACTCCATACTCTCAATACATGAGCTATATAGCGCCGTTTCAACCAGGCGCGTTGCACCGTGTCGTTGAAAGTGTGAACGCTACCGAAAACAGCAATTAATAGATCACCGGCCCATTGGTGGTTTATTAATTCTGCTGACGGGACAAAGTGGCGGTAGGAACTAGACGGTCTTTTAATACTGACAATGAGGTGGATTCTGCTGTACGCTAGGTATATCCCATCAGCTGAAACAGTCCGGCAGTTAAGTTCAACGTTTGAGGACGAGAGCGGAAGGTTTCAGTTTCAGTTTATTACATGACTGAGCATGTAAGTCGCCATCAGAGGACGGCCAACAACAACAATAACAACAAAAAAAAATCGAAAGGAAAGAACGGATAAAGAACAACCGAAGATGATCTGCACAAATGAAGGGAATTACATATCGATAGCTGGAACAAGTGAATGATACATAGATTGAATTGGGTCTATAACGAGCGCGGGGAAACAGTTACATCGTCATTTAAGTATGCGCTTAAGATAAGACTTAAGCATACTGGGTGAGATTGGGAGCGTTTACGTTGTCTAAGCGAATGTAAATAGGCCCAGCTCTATTAACGAAGAAATGACGTCTAGGTCCGCTGCGAGCTGCCACAAAATTTAAATTTATCATAGTTAGTTGAAAAATCGCTGCACCAAACCTTCACTTGACCGTTGCGGATTTTGTTGACCATTACGATGTCATTGACTTTCCTTCTTAGTGAAAGAGTTTTCAAGCCGAGAAGCTTGTTACGAGAAGACGAGTCCGGCACTGCTAAGTAGGAAAAGCCAAGACAACGAAGAAATAGCTTGCGCGTAAAGCTGTTCTGAACTGCCTCAAGTCTTTTAATGGAGAGGCGCTTAGACGGATTGAACACAGTAGTTCCGTACTCCAAAATAGGCCTAACATAAGTTTTGTAAGCGGCAAGCGGTTGTGATTAGTGGAGGAAAGAGCTTTGAACAGATTATAAAGTCTACGCTGACCAGCGTTTGCAACAATATCACAAGTGTTTAGAGAAATCAAGTTTTTCATTGACATGAAAGCCGAGGTCTACCGTTGCCGATACTGGCTGGAGCTGGATACCATTTAGACTATATTGAAACCGCCCATTATTAGGACCGATGTGCAACACCTTAGTCTTCCCCGGGCAGAGAGGAAGCCTCCAATTCTCAGACCAATTATACATAGCAAGCTAAAGTCTGAAGCCTGTCAAGGAGATTGGATTTGACCCGACAGCAACCTTTTTTCCACCGATTGTTCCGCTTGCGCGTTTCTGCAATTTATGGAGATGTACTGGCGTCGCTGCAGACCCAGTCGCCTGCCACGTTCCACCGACTGCGCAAAAATGACTGTCTGTGATATAGATCTGACGTCAAAGTGCTTATTGAGCCCACTAGATGGGAGCCCTAAACAAAAACAACAAAATCTCCTCAATTACGCCCATGGCACATGACTATCTTCAAGTGCGAAGCCCACACCTCGTGGCAGGGTTAGAACGGTGTGAACCCATCAAATCCTCCTTGGAGTACGGCCTGTCTGCAACGGAGTAAGATGTGACATACCTTCTTTTTAAGTTCTCTTTTGACGATTTGTAACTCTTCGGCGTTCTTTTTGTGGAATGGATCCTGTATAGCAGCTGATTCCCGCTCCGAAAATCGGGGTGATGACATGAACCCATCGACTAGTATGCTGTGCCTCGTCTTTGAATCCAGTTTCAGTAAATAGTCGGGGTGGATCCATTTTCTGTATCGAGAAACAGAATTATATAAGTTGATTTGAGTTTTATGGTCGGTTTGTACAGCTGACGAGAGGGGATGGTCTCGTAAGAGGAGTGAAATATCCTTCTATTCTATAAAGCACTAACTCTGTGTGTCGGTTTGTCGGTCTGTATGTATGTATGTATGTATGTTTGTCCGTCCGCAAAATGCTTCACGGGATTAAATAGGGGACTGAACGGAGAAAACGGCCGCCAGCTCATCTGGAAAGCAATCTGTGCGGATGTATCACCAATGTTTTGGTTAAGATAACGGTTCCCCATATATAAGACAACCATTTAGTGCACTCCGAGCCATTGCACGAGCTGCTCACGTGGCAGCTGGACGTGGGCACGTGCAGGGGGCAGGGGGCAAGAGGTGGGGCGCGAGAGCGGGGTGCTGGGGAGTGCGCGTCGAGGTGGGGTTAGAGAGGTGGGGAGCGTTACTGTCTAAGGAACATCAATGAAAGCGATAAGATAAAGGAGAGGGATCCATCGCTAGCAAATTAACTGCTTGCGAAACAGTCCATGTTGTGGTATCAATTTGAGGTAATGTTTTGAATATGATAACACCATGCACTATATAAGAAAACCATTTAGTTTTCTGAGCCATTCTAAGTGCCGCTCGCGTGGCAGCTCAACGTGTGTGCGTGCAGAGTAGCAGGGTAGGGAAAGGACTGGGTCAGTGGGAGTAAGGTGAGGGCAATAGGGGTACGATGGTGGATGATAGAGCGAAGTGCGTGCTCAAAGAGAAGCACAGTAACTGTGGATAAAGCATAAGTGAAAGCGACATGATGAAGGGAAGAGGGACCAACCGCTAGCAGAATTGCGAACCTAACAAACCAGGTGTGGCATCAGTTGCAGGTTATGTTTTGGATTCTGGAATTTTGGCGATAACACAACCATTTTTCTATTCTATAGAGCAGTAGCTTTGTGTGTCGGTCTGTATGTATGTATGTGTATTTGTGCGTCCGCAACGCTTCATGGGCTTCAGATTACCCTCACATCGCAGATGCAACTGTAAGTCAATTTCAGGAGTTGACATAGAGGGTGAGAAGGGCCTCTGGTGCGTGAAAGAAGGTCATCACAGCCGATGAGATTTGATAGAAGCCATAAATGGGAAATTCATAGCGCGGGTCGCAGCAACTATAGGAAGGAAATTCCATCAGGCGATATAGTATGTCGGACGGGAACGTCAATGGGTGGTGACATAAAGTGATAACAACTTATAGGGGCTATTGGGGAATGTTGCCGTTGTTGTTCAGTTGACGTATTAGACACTTAGCATTACATGCATTACACGCATGTAATGATGTCCTCCACTCCTGCTGCAAGTATAAGGGTGGACACAGGAGTGCAGAATCCGCTCACTCTTTACGAATCGATTAGCACAGCGCAATACCATCAGCAGCTCAGCGAGTGACGAATTCCATTTCCATTATGGAGCGCGCCTGGCGAAGCCAGGCTAAAGGAAGGAGGGGGCTCGGCGTCAGCCGGGCGACCCGACTGGTAGATATAGAA